GAGGCGCCGAGCCCGGCGCTGTGGTATACAGCAGCCTCTTCTACCGCAAGAATGACATTTATTTATTTATTTATTTATTTGGAAAAACACATCTCTCAAAATTTTCACCGCAACTGTCATGGACTCGTTTCCCCGCTCTCAAAGGAAAAAAAAAAAAAAAACCAAACCCACAACCAAATAACCCAAACCAGAGCGAAGCCCCCTCCTTTGTCTCCTACGGGACAGGGACACTCGCACAAGGTAAAAAAGAGGTGGGTTTGTGCATCAGGGGGACCTCACCGAGCACTCCGGGGAGGGAAACTACGATCAAAATACATACGTCGTTACTCGAGATGCTTGCAGCAGGAGCAATGGGCATTTATTACGGTTCAGCCTCCGCGTCACCCCGCTAACGGCCCGCAAGAGCAAGCCCTCCCCAACCCCGGCGCCATCGACGACGCAGCCCGCGGAGCTCCCCTCCGCTCCAGGCTGGATCCTAGAGACGCAGTGAATCCCGAGGCACCAACGTTAATATTCGCCACCGATGAGCTCAAAAGCCCGGTGGTAACGTTTCCCAAACTCCTCTCCAGTCTCCAGCCAGGGGCTGGGCGCGGGTAGGGGTTCCCCGGGCGGGAAGCGGGGGGATCTTTGGGGGCCGGCAGGCGGGCGGCACGGCGTGCCCCGGCTTTGAGCTCATCCGTGCACATCTGATCCGTACATCCGTACAAATCCTGCAGGCGTATTCTCACGTTCCAGCATAGCCCGGATGCACGGACTAGCATGCCGTACAGCACACTATACACGAGCGCAGCCCTACGCAGCGTGCCGCTTCGTAACAAAGCTAATAACATAGAGCATTGGCCAGTCAAACTTTAGAGTCTGAGCTCAAAACTCTCACAGAACTGAAGAAAAAAGAAAAGCAAGAGAGCAAAATGCATTTTGAGGCTGGGCCGCGCAGCTGTATTCGTTATCGGCTGCAATGCTGTTGCTTTTTCTCGTCGTTACGCCCAATTCTGCCTTCTTCCCAGCGATTTGTAAAATAAGTCACCGGCTGGGGAATCCTGCCTCCAAAATCTGAACACTGAGACAAAGAATTAAAGCTGGGCAGGGAGAAAACATACAGGCAGGGTGACAAAGTAACATCCCTATGGGTATGGTATCACCCCTCCTGGAAAAAACAAATGTTGTGTCCATTGCAAACCCCCAAGTTTTGCTTTTCAAAGGAAAATCACGTGAGTTTCACTTAAATATTTGCATCAGACACAGCAGGTAGGAAATACATTTACAGAAAAGTATTTTGGTTTTCCTTCCTTACAGAGAGAGGTGAGACTGGAGTAGGACAGAGCGCTGCTGGTTACTAATAGGGCGTTAATTCAGATTAAAGGAAAATGGCCTTGAAGCCTGTAATCCCAAAGCCTCTGAAAACACCGATCATGGAAAAATACCTCCAAAAAGGCCTTTTTTTGTGTGTATTTTTGCTGACAACCTGGATATATTTTTTTTTTTTTTGACATCTTCACGCGACGCTGTGATCCAGTTATCAAACACAACATCGCGGGGACGTTGCAGGCAAGAGAAAAACGGGCTCAGATGAAAACAGATTAAGCTCCTTTTCTGAACGATTGCCAAATGTTTGTGGGTCGCGCTCAGGGCTGAGCATCCCCGCGCGCCCAGCTGCAGTCCCGCACGCCGCCCTGACCTGCCTGATGTACAGCGACTGCAGGACATATGCTCCCCTCGCCAAAAGCCTCCGAGAGGCATCGC